AAAGAATTTTACAGTTTCAATATTAGAAAAAAAAAACTGTTCAAATAATAATAAGATGTGGGTAGGGGAAAAATTGAATTTTGGGTTAAATGTTAGTCATGCATATTGATATTCTATTGACACAGATTAGCTCATTCTATCCTTGAAGATTCTTATAAGAATAAATTTCCAGATATGAAATGTAACAACTTTTTTCAACAAAGAAGTATAAATATTTAAGTCTGATTTTATACAAACAATATGGAAAATATGGGATCTTCATATAGTTATGCTAATTATTTTAAATTAATTTTAATACATTCAATGTAGGTACTTAATAAAATTATAATACTTCATTACCAACTAGTTGTTTACTCAAGTGTACTTATTATTATCAAGGTTACAAGTAGAAAACACACTTCCTTTGTGGAAAAGATGAATACATGTAATATCCTCATTTGATTGCTGAGCCAAAATGGATCTTAGGTACATTATATTATTAAATGCGATTTTACCTTGCATCAGAAATGTACTGTTTTATTGCTTAGGATAAAATATGGTACAATTGCAATGTTTCATGATTGTGAAACTTACAGGATTTCCCAGTATTTTACTGTTATGATATGATTTAAGTCCTTCAAGAATTTAAGAAAACATTACTTTTATTATTTTTATAGTTGTTTATGTTAACATGGAACCAATACAATGCTTCATTAAAATGATAAGTATGTTATCCAAAAGTATTTGAATATAAATTATATTGAAATGCTATTTTTGTATGTACTCGAACTCATGCAGACAATTAAACACAAAGTATCTTATATTGTAATTGTCTATAAGTCTTTAAATTTTTAGATAGTTCTGATTTGCCGATTAAACTGTAGCAAGCATGAAGTGGAATAGGAATGGGATTACTTTATAGGCATTTATATAGTTTCAAAGAATTACAATTGCGAACAAAGATAAAAAAAGCTCACAAAATTAACAAATTTTCAGTGTATATACTGAAAATTTTCAGTGTATATACTGAAAATTTGTTAATTTAGTATGTCTCACGATAGTTATTATAAAAACATGCTAATGCTATGTTTAACCCAGGAATCGGATCCAACCAACTAGGCATAATTATGACCAACAACACAATAACATATGTTTTAATTTTTTAAGGTAGGAATAACATTGTCGCATGCATTATGGAGTTGCGCAAGTACGTTTAGCGTGTTTGTTTTGGCTCGATTCATTGGGGGATTGAGCAAAGCCAATGTAAGCCTAAGTATGGCGGTAGTCACAGACGCCTCCAATGAGAAAACCAGGGCCAGAGGAATGGTAAGATAATTGCACACTTGTTTAAATTATGATATTAAATACATAGTATGATGTCCATGTAGCCTCTGTAATTTTGGTATTTATTTATGTTATATTTGTCCGAACAAGATTAAAAGTTGACCAAGTGCGAGTCGGATCTCACGCGCAAATTTCTGTTAAATATAATGCCCTAACAGGTACTGAAAAGTCGAAATTAATATTAAGTTAATTAATACGTAAATCACCGTACAACTTACAACAATTATGTTTGTTACTTTTTCAGGCTTTAATAGGTTTGGCATTCTCCATTGGGTTCATTGTGGGGCCAGTTACTGGAGCATGGTTTGCTAAGAACAGTGACTTAACCTCTGGCGCCTGGGGCGAAACGCCCGCTTTCTATGCCCTGTCTCTTTCTCTTGCCAACATTCTGCTAGTATTATTATTCGTTCCGGAAACTTTGACGAAAGTGAGTATCGAATGTAGTGGTATACATTGTATTTGTTAATTACATATTTCTTCTACTATAACACTAAATATTTTGCAGGACAAAAGAGCACCTTTATCACTCACTCTGTCTAAGTCAGTGGATTTCGTCTCTCCCTGGCATCTATTAAAATTTACTGCTGTTAAAAATCTTTCGAAGAATCAAAGTAGAGTATTATCAAAGTTGGGACTGATATATTTTCTATATTTATTTATTTACTCTGGTCTGGAGTTTACTCTTACATTCCTAACTCATCATACCTTCCACTACACTGCTATGCAGCAAGGCAAAATGTTCCTAGTTATGGGTAAGTGCAATGATGTAGATAAATATTTTAGCATTATATCTTCTTCTATGACTTCCATTCTCTCCTATCAAACCTAATCCAAACTCCCTTCTCGTTCTTCACACGATCTGTATTCGAACGATCATTATTTACCATTCTTTTCACCCATTCTTACGTCACTACATTTTTTACTATGAGTGTGTTTTCAATTTTGCAAATGTTTCAGGTCTTATAATGGCCGTGCTGCAAGGTGGCGCGGCACGTAGGTTGGGGTCCCGAGGCGCGGAGGTAGCCGCTCGGGGTGCACTGGTTTTGACCCCAGCTTCATTCTTAAGTGTAGCCTTTGCAGCGCTACCTCATCCTCCTTTGCTCTCACCTATAAGTTGGCTTTGGCTTGGACTAGTTTTATTTGCATTGTGTAAGTAGCAAACCTTCGTATTCTATTATGCAAGCCAATTATTACTTTCTTAGGATTTTAACTACTGACTTAACGAGTTTTAATTTTGTGCTCCAGTTAATTAAATCTAGTCTTGCAAGCAGGGATAATCCGGTACTTACCAGATGATTAATAACACTATCACTGGGCATTTTTAGATAATATCAGGTAATCGAATAGATAGTGGACTTAATAACATATTTTTTATTGAGGAAAAATCCGTTTATACCTCATTGGATCCCTGTAAGTGATCTAATCAATGCGATATTCCGCAGCTACGGCGTTCGCGGTATCATGTATGACATCGATGGCCGCGGGTAAAGCGCCAGAGGAAGCGCGGGGTGCAGTACTTGGGACGCTTAGATCGCTGGGGGCTCTCGCTCGTGCCGCGGGCCCATTGTTGGCGTCTTCGGGTAACTATCATAACTAAGTCTTAATTTCTTACTTAACCAACAAATTATAACTGTTATGAGAACATAATTAATATGGATTTTCGTAAGAAAAATGCTACGAACAGTCAAACTTCGCGTATGCGGAAGTACCTCGACGACTGCTATACCTAATACTTTGGACGATAATATTTTACGTTCACTCACAAGACATTTGACTCAACACAAAAATGTATAGTTACATACCTACATATTATGTATCAAATGGCGTTATATCATTTTCAAACTAAAAAAGATGTGATATCCGCATTAGAACGAATACCCCATAAGATCTTGACCTATAATTTCATAGAGTTGCTTATCTCTGATACGATACGCTTATTTATCAATCGATTACTCATGCTTCACATATTTGTGCGGATAACAATTAATTGTAGTTGGAAAATCGAACTTGTTCCATTAGTAATAAAAGCGTTATCAATACTGCGAAGTTGACTGATCATTTAACTTTGTTATCATCTAATCCTTTGTTGAGTAAAAAAACAAATATGTCGGCCTCAAATCCGGTTTTTTACCTGTTTATGATTTTTATTTGTAAACATTATGTGTTAGTCCACGACATATGTAGAGGTGCAAAAAACCTTTTACCTGTGATGTAGGTACCTTAATACCACGTGGTGCACCGGGTAATTTCCTTCGTACCATTCCTTATACACCGTGAAATTTGTATCGATTTCGTTCCGCGGCAAAACGACTTGCTTTTTGGAGCAAAAAGTAAGAATAAAAAATAAAGACGTATTTTTTTTTATTGACTTACGCACAGCACATGTATATGAGATGTTTGTTGGCACTATTTGCATCGCACGTGCCACCCACCGAGAAATACCTTTTCGACAATTACATGGCGAGGTGTTTTAGTAATGTACTATGAGTTCGAATGCGCTTTCAAAGTGTGTTTCAAAACTATTGTGTTACAGAGACGAACGAAAGCGATATAAACACGGTGTAGACAACTTCAAATAATACTTGGGTCAATCCCGGTTAGAACGTCCTCTACCTAGTCGGAGACACCGAGTCTGATGCATCACAGGATACTCTTATTATTATTTAACTGAAAAGCAACGGAGCGCTCACTCTTTAGATAACTACAAATAAAATTGAATATTATATTAGATGTAATTTATATGAAGGTAGGCTTCATGTAAATTACATCTAATTGAATTTAATTATCTTAATTTTTTTTTCTTTTCAGTGTACTGGTGCTCCGGCGCAATGATCACGTACACAATCGGCTCCGTAATTCTAATCATTCCTGCTGTGATGTTAATTAGACTGAAAACATAATAATTAAATATTACATAATGCAGCTTTTACACTGCATCCATGTACAATATGAACAAGCAATAACCTTATAACATTTATAATAATTTATTAAAAATTCCATAATTTATTAGTATTATATTCTAATATACAATTGTTCTGTATTATTTATGTTGTTTGTCTATTTTTGTAAACGTTTTCTTACTTATTTTCTCGAATAAACAGTATTAAAACATTATTTTGTTTCATTTGTAATCGAGGTAAATTGCTATCCATCTTTAATATATTCCATAATCGTGTGTAGTTCCGTGTTATTCTCGCCTATTTTACTGTTGATCGTAAAGATAAAATCGATACGTGATCAGATACATGAACTGATACTGATAAATAGCAAAATAAATACTCTCAAACATGAACGTCGGATAACGGCCAAGCATAACCTGTAAAAAATACTGTTAGGTACTCTATTTAATTTAGTCATGGTCATGGTAGCAATCATAAGTACTGATTAAGCACTTCACACTTAAATAACACATGAAAATATTTTATTTTCGGCTTTACTCAATGGCTTTACGTACTTCACACAAACAGCTGCTTAAGAAAATTAATGTTCTAAACACATATTTCCCTCAATAGGTAGTTGTATTCTCTAAATGCGTAGGGTAAGGCATTAGCATAAATTAAATATGAAAATTTGTTAAGCTACTAAAACAGTTATTGATTTGCAGGTAGTTTTATATTCTCTATCTCCAGGCCAAGATAAACAAACTCTATAAACCAACTTTTTGTTTGTACACGCGTTGCTAGGCAACCGTTTGTTATGTTATGGCTGAACGTCATTTTTAATGTCGCTTTGATGCAAGAAAATGCCATTGTTTAGCAATAAATTCTCCCCAAAAAGTATTCCGGTAAGGAAACAGGATACTACCGTATTGAAAAGTGAACTTGGTAGTGACTATGCATCGAAAGAATTATCGCTCGATGTGGGCCCATTGAAATTAAAGTTGGGAGATTTCGAAATATCTTTTGAAGAAGGTCAATGGATTCCAGGTAAATTGTTAAAGTTTATATGTGAACTTGAGTTTATTTTCTTTTAGATTTTACGGTTTGTTACCTGCTCCTAACATACCTACTTTTTATAACTATTATTATGTATTACAATATATACTAGCTTTTACCCGCGGCTTCGCTCGCGTCACAAAAGGATAAAAAGTAGCCTATGTGACACATACCAATACACACAGCGCCATCTATACCAATAATTTCGTTTTCCCTCGAGAATATCGAATTTGTAGTCACATGAAGAGTTGTTCCGTGCGGGAATCCCGTGACCCGTTGCGCGGCAGCCAGTTGCCCAGCTACCGCACCAACCGTGCCGTCACTTGTTGTCTTTTTACAGCTTCTGGCAAAGCCGGTGCTGCTCATAAGGAAAATATTCGACTCAAAAACGAGTTGGAAAGACTTGAAGAAGAGAATAATATGTTAAGATTAAAGTTTGAAATACTATTGGACATGATGACTGACAAAACTGTTGAGGCTGAACAACAAGCCGAAATGCAGAGAGCACAGAGTTTAGGTAATTTGAAACAGAAGAGTAATAAGAAGAAATGGTCTTAAATTCTATAGTTATAAGGTTTTAATTAGTGTAAATAAAATTATTTCAAATATTTACTGGTGTTTTAATTATCAATTTCGCATAACAAATAAGATGCAGCTGTTGCTATTGGAGTATCAAAGGTGTTATTGAAAAGAAATGTATATTAAAAATATGTTTATTTACTTAAATAGTAATATTTTACATCAATATACATATTATACAAAGTGCTTACAGATCTCAATTTACAGACATCCAGTAAGGACACAGGATGGCTACTTATCATTAACAGCAGCAACAAAGATTTACAAAAATCCTATAAACAAATATCACAAACTTTTTATTGCTTTAGCTACACAAATGCAGAAACAAATAATCAGGTTTTGATGAGATGCAGCATGTTACATAGACCAAGCCTGTAAGAGCAATCTTTTTATGCCAACAATCAAAATAAATTTTTCGAATAATACTTATTTTAAATACTGACTTTATTTTATTTCATTTCGTATTGGGACATCAACATCATCCCAGGTACTAGTACTTTAACGATTTTTAACTCTATTGCTTTAAGATAAAGTCTAAAATCTCTAACAGATGACGATTTGGGGTAGCTTTTCGTGCTGGCACGTTAACATTTAAAAGGCCACATCTAAAATCTCCAACAGTCTTATAAATTAGGAGTATCTTGATGAGTAGTAGAAGCATATCATAAGAAAACAAATACTTGAAAGTTGAAACTAAAAGTTCTTCATTCTGCATTGGGGCAACGTGCCCGAGTATGTCCGGGTTGTTTACAAAGTCCGCACAGCCTGGGCCCGCCGCGAACCGCCCCTCCCCCCCTACTCGTAGTTCCGCGAGTCCCCCTACCCCCTCGGCCACGTCCCCTACCACGATTACTGGTGGTACTATTACCTACACCCCAATCTGAAAAACAAAAAAAAAATTGAGATCCATTAGTAAAAAAAATTAATTTTCTGAATTAATTGCAAATGTAAAACTATAATTATATTCATGGTACAACATAATTTATATCTATTTCATTACCTGGAATAGTTTCACTGTCAGCCCATTGGAAGAATTTACATCTTGTAGCTATGTCCTTTACACACACGTGGAAAGGACGCCCTTTATTTGGTCCTTCTTTTTGTGCTATCAATCTGTAATAGGAAACGTAAGTAATGCAGATCTTTTAGTAGAAGACAGTATGTAATAATTATGCTATGGTATAAATACTGTAAATTTGTCGATATGAACAACCGTCTTGAATCTCATAACTAATTTGATCAGAGGGCTTTGTGCAAGTTTGTTTCACGTTTACGGGATCGAAACGAAATCTCGTCCGTCGCTCTGATTGGTTGGTTCATTGGAGCCGGCCAATCACAGCGCGGAACCAGGCGTTCCGATGACTATCACCCAACCAATCAGAGAAATAAACGCCGTAACGTTTCCATTTCATTAAACGTAAAACACACTAGAAATATCGTATTTGCTTACCGTTTACATGGTATCCCACAGTCACACATAACATCGTCATTGTTCCCGCCACTGCTTCTTGGATTGCTCGGCGCGATGCCCCAGCCTCTACTCGTACTACTCGTATCATTACTATCCCACGTACTAGTCGGCGGCGTGTCGTACGGGTTCTGTATTGAGCTGTCGTTTTCAGGCGCCCAGAGGAAGAAGTCACAACCGCCGTTGTCTTTTCCTACTTGACATTTGTAGAACTGTTTGCCTGGAATATTTTTTTTGTTAAAATTTTATAGATATAGTTATTACAGCTTTTTGGAAACATTCACTACTCCTAAGTAATATTTTCGTTCACCAGATGCGGCCAATGTAGCTTGAGATCCTGTTTATCCAACAGAGAATTAGGTAGTGTCAAATCATTGTACATTAAAAAATTTTATAGCTACAGTGATTGGTCAAATAAATCCCAGCACACTACATTAGCGCATGATAACCGGAGGCTCCATTGCCCCCATTCCCAATCATCCCGAACCCCCAACAATTCTCAAATTCCTAATCCTCAAAAGACCGGTAACGCACATGTAACGGATCTGGTGTTTCGGGTGTCTATGAGCGGCGCTGATTCCTTACCATCAGGTGATCTGTCAGCTCATTTACCGGATTACATTAAAAATTTGTTTAGTAAAAACACGATAGCCTTTATAACCTAATGCAAACTTACCATGGTTCGCGTTTTGTTTCCGTACAGTCAACAAAATGGCTGGCTGGTTACAACCACAGAGTATATTATTGTCACCATCATTACTCCTTGGTGTGGGCATTCTCGGCTGATTGTTCATTGTATTTTGATTTCTATTCACAGTGGGCGGAGGTAGAAAGTGCCTTGGTTGCGTTGTGGTAGTTGTGGGTTGTCTGGGGTTTGCTCGCACTGGTGCGACAGGAATTGTGTTGGTACTATTATTATTATTAGTTCTATTATTCACAGTTTGTGTCCTATTACTATTTATTGTGTTTTGTGGTTGTGTTGCTACTTGATTTCTATTCTCCGATATAGGTCTCACGCTAGCTGGGTTTATTCTAAGCATTTCTAGAAACGTCATGTCACAGCCGCCGATACATCCAGTGTAAGGGGGCGGGTACAAATGACTGAGCTGATTGTTTTTCCATTCAAATTTCAACATTTTATAGTTTGGTCCACACTGAAAAGATCAAACACATGTTTAAACATAGCTTGTAAATACAGAGAGGTATAATGTAATACAGTATCCGGCGATAAATATTATATTGCACATCAACCTTTGTAAAAAGACAACCGGCCTAGTTGACGCGTATACTACTCATAATTAAGAACCGCTAAAACTAGTGCAGCACTGTCCTTGAATCATAAAAATATAGAACAAGAAAAAATATTACAAATATTGCAATCAATATCACAGAAAGTCATTGCTGGCTGGATATTGTACCTTTTTAATAAGTCTTATTGGTACTTACAGTAGGACAAGTATTAGGTAATACTTGTATCGATTTGACTAGACTCGGCAACCACACTGCGTTCTTACAATTCGGGAATGACATACAACTAATGTATAAATCGTCCGCATTGTTCTTCTTCTGTCGTACAACCATGTCTGTTCCACATTTTGGACACTTTAGGGCTGTGAAAGAAATATATTTTAAATTGGGATTTCTTTTCTTGATGACTTAGCAGCGTACAATACGTCATACAGACAGTATATCCTTGAGTTGGCACTGTTGGCAGCGGCATTCTTAAAGTAAAAATAAATTCGCAAAAACGAAAATAACATATTTTTTTAAAACATTCCAAGCTCCCTGGGCGGTACTTTGCCGGATTCCTTGTCTTTTACCAATGTAACTGTTTAATCCCTAAGCAGTCACCGGTGACCGCTCTTCATTAAGTCTATAATATAAACCTTATTACCGATGTTTAGAGACTACTTTTGTATGATCAAATATATGACATAAGAGATCTAAATCGGACCTTAAGTAAATACCACTTATGCATTTGTACAATTTCAATACATATTATATTTTTAACCATGTTACCTGAAGGCATACTGACGGGCAGAGACTCGGTCGAAGGAACATACTCATTGGGTTGTTCACGAAACCTTTCAGCCAACGCTGCGTCGATTTTATTCGCTTCCAGCGCCACCGTTTGGTAAACTTCTTTATACTTAGCTACCTGGAAAAGAAACCATTATTATTTCACAGTATTTATGATTTAGTACTTTTATAGTTAGTAGTTAAAATTCAGTGTTCCAAATTACTTCAATATCATTTTTAATGGATTTTCGACTCTATTGCAAAGCCAATAAAGTTGAAAATGTATTAAAGAAAAACTAGTACAATAATAACGTGGTACAAGTTCACCTGTTCAGCTAATACTTGCTGAGGTTGTTTTCGACCTTCGCTGATGGCTTTAAGGTCGGCTTCTAGTTGTGCACGTAGATGTGGCTTGGAGATTGTAAGGCCCATGGCATCGTAGCCCTCGACCAGTCCCATGCCGAGCAAGCCTGGTACAAAGTGAATAGCATCCGCTAACGCCACATACGACCTATTTTTTATAGTCTCTATGTGTTCTGCGTGCGTCGCATCCGTTCCTGGAATTAAGTATTGGTAATTAGTTTTATATATAGGTGTACCGATTGTGTTTAAGTTAAAAACAGTAAACAGACATAGCTTACCAATTCCATGTTTCTCCATAAGCGCAATGAGATCCGCTTCAGTTAACAAATTAGGAGGAGAAGTATTACCATCCAAAATATCTATGCTTGTTGGATTAAAAGTTTGTCCATTCTAAAACAAAATAAATCAGTTGAATCTCCCTGTTACTTTCACATGCGTGTATCGCAATAATAGACTTTAATACAAACGTCATAAACATGAATTTCCTTCGAGGACCATTTATCATAAGGGTAGACTTCTAAGTAATTTCTTGCTGTGATCATTAAACCACTTGCGTGGAACTTTTCGTTAGCTATGTCGATGGAGACCGTGGTTTCTTGACCCTGGGCGTCTTTAGAGCAACATGCGAGAAAAGATCGCACTATGAACTCGTATAGCCGCTGTTCATTGCCCGATAAATCTACGGAAATAGTTATAAGATATTTAAAGGGCCGATAAATGTCACAATATTAGATTTATTCAACATCAGCATCATAAATTGGAATAAGCTGCAGGAGAAAGGCCTAACCGTGGGATTATGAATAGCAAACGTCTGTGGGGATTACGACAAACCCCTATGGGATTTAGATTTGGCAATCCCCTCCCCATACACTTGGTAAGCACAGTTGTGAAGCAAGACTGCTGATTTATCTTTTGACTCTTTATAACTACAAAAATCATTTAACGTTAATTTGTAATGGGTGCCAGAAGGATTTTCGTGTTAAATATACGTATTTAAATCTTAATATAACTTACTGTTTGTGTACTTCGTGGGGTGAATGGGCGGATGGGCTTTGTCACTCTTATTGCCCTGTCGTGGAGTTGGACCCCCGCTATCCAGAATGTTCTGTGCAAACGACCCCCAGTTGGG